GTTAAGAGTGGACAGGTAGGGAGTGGAGGAATTTGGGCCAATAACAGCATAAATATCAAGAGCCTGGGTGAGGCTGCCCAGGGGAACGAGCCTTTGTATGTGGAGAAGAGACTTTGTGCCCAAGCCCTGGGCACTCTGCCATTTAGAGGTCAATAAAGAGGAAGCGGAACCAGCAGAAGGAAAAATATGGGAGTTCAGGAGAGTGTTCTGTCCAAGAAGCCAACGAGAAAATGATCACTTGTCTCATGGGCATGTATGGATGCTGTCTGCCTGTACTGTGTGTGCAGCACCAAGTAGTCCCCCTGGGACTGTGCTGGACATCTCCTTAGCTCACTTTTGGAAGTTGTGTTGTACTGATCAGGGTCAGGCCCACCCACGGGCAGGTTGCAGATCAGCCAGGCACTCACACCTCTCTGCACGCTCTTCTGGGTTTCAAACTGCATTGAGTTCTTTCAGTACAGGGGATACTGGAGAGGCAAAGTAGTGAGTGAAGTCAGTGACATTTTGGCAATACTTTGCATTTTGGTGTTTGTTCCTAATCAACCTACTATTATAATTTTTTTCCTAAAATATATTTTTATTGATTTCAGAGAGGAAGGGTGAGGGAGAGAGAGATAGAAACATCAGTGATGAGAGAGAATCCTTGATTGGCTGCTTCCTGCATGTCCTACTGGGGATTGAGCCGCAACCTGGGCATGTGCCCTGCTAGGAATTGATTTCATAGTTCATAGGTCGACACTAAGCCACACTGGCTGGGCATGCTATGTATTTTTAACCCATTGTGTGCCATAAGCATCTGTAGATGCAAACAGTGGGCCTTCCCCACATGCCACGTGCGCCTATAAAAAAATGTTTTCCCTAAGTGGCAGCCCTGACCAACTTTAAAATCATTTTTCATGAGAATTTTCAGCTGAAAATATTCAAGAACACCTGAATTGTAATGTATTTATTTTTATAATATTCATTGCAAATTTTATTTTTTAAATTAAATTCAAAATATTGTGACGTGGGGATGGTTTCTGTTTTGGATGCATGGTAGTTAACTGGTTAAGGAAACTCAAATAGTTGTTCCATATAATATTTTCATGTTTTATATTTGCATTCAGTGGGTGGCATATTTCTAAATCATATATAGAACTGGACCCCCTTGCTTGAGATTTTTTGTATGTTTTTAGTGAGAAAAAAAAAAAGGGTGGGGCTGTATTACATTTTTCTGAGTTTGATTTGGTATGATAATTTTAATATCTAAGGAAAATGGGTAGTAGAATGCCCTTTTTTAAATTCTGTGAAACAGGATTTTTGTTTATGATGGATGTTTGATTATGGCTTTACTTTTGTTGTCAGCATAATGTCTACCTCATAGAATGAGTTAGGAAGTATTTTTTCCTCCAGTATATCCTGAAGATAGTATAGGATTAGTATTATTTCTTAAATGTTTAATAAAATTAATCAGTGAAGCCACCTGTAGCTTTTTGTTCTTTAATTTTGGATAGATTTTTTTTTTTTTTGCTATGTCTTCAAGGTCAGTTATCTTTTTTTTTCTTTTTGCTGTTTCTAATTAGATGTTGATCTTTCAAAGTGAAATTTTTATTAGGTGTTATCTTTTTGTTGTTGATTGGAAGGTAGAAAAGGAGGGAGAGAAAGGTAGAAAGAGGGAGAGAAACAAATATTGATGTGAGAGAGAGACATCAATTGATTGACTCCCTCATGCACTTTATGGGGCAGGGAGCAAACCCAAAACCCAGGTATGTGCCCTTGACTGGGAATTGAATCTGAGACCCTTAAGTGTGAGGACTGATGCTCTAACCATTTAGCCGCATTGGCCAATGCTGAGGTTATCTTTTAATGTACTCTATGAGTTCCATTTTGTTTATATTTAATATCTCTATTTCCCTCTTCATAATTCACTCTCTATTACATTTTTGAGCAGGTGAGTGCGGGGGCCTGATGTGATGGGGCCAGACACGGCGAGGATCTCCCTTTTCCGTGTCCCGCACGGAAAGAGAGATGAACGAACCCGTTCTAAGTGGAGGCGGCCAGGGATTGAGAAATATTAGAAATAGAGAGAGAAGACACAGAGATAGATTTTAGGCTGGGAGCTGGGTGGGCCTCCTGTCTGTGGAGGGGCAGGGAGAAGACGACGACCCCTCCCTGCTAGCACATTTATTTTATCCCCCAATACCAAGAAGTAACACCAACTTATTTGCTTTTTTTTTTTTTTTTTTTAATTTCTTTATTGATTAAGGTATCACATATTTGTCCTCAGCCTTCCATTCCAATCCCCCCTTGCTTGCATTCTTAAGTAGGCCCTAGCATGCCCGGATTTACATATCTAGTCCTGCCCCTGCCGACACCTGGGCTGATATGAAGGCCAAGCTGACAACATGTCTGCCATCTTGGGGAAACATGTTCTCAAGGTGTGGCTCTGCCTGCGCCTTGAGTTCAGCTGACGATAATTAAGGGAAATTGCCCATGTGCCTTCCCAGGCGGCTCTCTACAGATGAGGCATAATGATGTAGCTGACTTAATGTCCAGTCTTGTCCTTTTTATCATTTTTGTTTTCTGTTTCTATTCTTTGATATTTATTCTGGTTATGGCTGACATTTTTAAAAAATTATTCTTTGTAAAATTTTATTGGATGCCACATATTGTGATTTTGTGGTTCCTAAGAGCTTTCATAAGTGTTGAACTTTTTTTCTTGCCTGTCAGGGAAGTTAGTTGTGGATCATTTGGGTTCTGTTGAGACTTACTTGTCAGCTCTTTTAGGTCTAGAATAGCATTTGTTAGCCCCACTCCTGAAGAACGTTCCACTGTCGTCTTTACTGGATGCATAGTCAGTGAGGTCTTTCTTAGCACTCTGTGAACTCTGGGGCTTGCTTGTATTGCAACTCTTCTATAATGGTCCGTTTTTTGAAGGTATAGGATTTTACAGCACAATTATACAGATTGGTATGCAGATAAAAACTCACAGGTAACCTCATGCAGGGTTCTGGGGAGCTCTTTCCACTCCACAGCACAGAAATTCTGTCCCATAGTTTGTAACCTCTTTTAGCCTCCTGGACTGATGATTTGTCCCCCCCCCCCCCCCAGCACAACTGCTTGTCTCTGAGTGCCCCTCTGAGGTGCAGTTTAAATTAACTCAGTGCATACAGCTTTTGTGATGGCAGAGTTCACCTTGTTTATTTCCCTTTGTTCAGAGACTCCAGGCCTTCCCTGCCTGTGGTCCAGTGTCTGATAATGGCTGTTCCCTATATTTTGTCTGGTTTTCCATTTGTTGATGGCTGGAGGTTAATTTTGAATCTTACTTCCAGGTGGCTTTAAGTAGAAGTCTCTTGTTTTATTTTAGTAATTCAGATTAGTTTTAATTTACAAGATTAATATGGACATTAAGTTTTTATTCTACCTCTTTCTCCCCTTCCCTCATGAAATTTGAAATGATGCTGTTTTGGCTATTTGAACTTGTGTGTTATATTGACAAATTTCTAATATTAAAATCATGCTTGTATTTTGATTTTATTTACTCATATTTTTAGGTTTTTAAAAACATGTTTTTGTTAATCTGTGAGAAACATCCATGATTGTCTCCTACACGCCCCCTACTGGGGATCGAGTCTACAACCTGGGTGTGTGCCTTGATGGGGAATAGAGCCCCAGGGACCATTTGGTGCATGGGATGATGCTCAGCCAATTGAGTCACACTGGCTGGGGCAATACTTTTTTCAATCTATATATTTTTTACTATATTTATTAGGGTTTTGGTTCAGGTGTTTCTTTTTAGTTGTATTTTTGGGGTAGAGATGACCTTTTGATTTATAAAACAATTTGGACTTCAATCACTTTAACTCTAAAAAATTCTTATTTAAAAATTATTATATCTCCTTTACTTGTTTTAATTGTTGAGTGTACTAAATAAGATTTAAATGGGTTTTCGATTGCTTAAAACAGCCATTTGCTTTATTTTTCCATATCGATGCTTTATTTCTTATTTTTTATTCTTTTAATGCTTCTTAACTAAATACTGAGTTTATATTTTTTTCATTTTAAGTAATAATTTAATGTGCTTAAATCTGAATACTGCTTTGCCTATTTCTAAGTTTTAAAAATATGTAATGTCATGTTTCTTATTTTATTTGTTTTAATTTTTTGACTCATTTCTATCCCTTACAAGACATGAAAAAATTTAAAGACTAGTTTTTTTGTTTTTAATTACTTGGGTCAAATAATCCCACTTTACAACAACACTTTTACAAAATGTTTTTATTGATTTTTAAAAGAGAGAGGAGGGGGAAGAGGGAGAAAAGAGAGAAACATCAACATCGACCAGTTGTCTCCTATACCTTCTTCTACCTCTCACTGGTGATCAAGCTCGCAACCTGGGCATGTGTCCTGATTGGGAATCGAACCAGCGACTTCTTGCTATATGAGGAGATGCTCAAACACTGAGCTACCTGGTTGGGATACCCACAGCTCTTATGTTTACTTCACTGAAGTGTTTATAAGTTAAATTTCATCACACTTGTAAGGTTGATATGACTAAATCTTGCTTACTACTTAGACTTTTTTCTCTTCGAGTGATTGACAGGGTGTGCATTGTTTTCTTAAAAATATACCTGTCTGGGTATCATTCCTTAATATTAGGTGTAGTGGTATAAACTGGTGTATGAACTTTGAAAGGAACCCATTAGGGATCAGAGACCAAGACTGTAGACAGAGGGCAGCATCTGAAGATTAGCTAAATGAGAGACTAAGTCTAAAATGCAGACTGACTGAGAAAGTGAGTTATGATGGCACATAATGGTAGTAATCAGCGCCTGTCCTCACTTGAAGATAAAAGGCACAATAGGATTTGAGGGGAAATGACAGTAAATATTATATTACTATTTTATATAGTAAAATGTTAGAAATGTTTATTTTGTGTACCTATAACTGGTTCATTACATTGAGTTTAATTCTAAGACTTAAAATTTAATATTTAACCTTATGTATTTATTTCTTTGTAGGCCTAGAAGTAGAGGAAAAACTACAGTGGAAGATGAGGACAGCATGGATGGTCTGGAGACAACAGACACAGAAAATATTGTGGAAACAGGTATTGGAACTTAATAAAAATCTTGAAAATGCACATAATAATTTGCACAATTAGCATTTGTCTGTATACTGAGTTCTGAAATTTCCTGTACTGAAATGTTTGATAAGTCCTGATAAAGTGAAAAAATTGATTACTTTTCCCCCCTACTGTCGGGATTTACTAGAAATTATTTAATATCTGTAGAGAAATATGTTTTTTTAAATTAATCTTTATTGTTCAGACTATTACAGTTATGCCTCTTTTTTCCCCTACATAGCTCCCCTCCATCCGGTTCCCAACCCGCCCTTTGCCCTTACCCCCCCCCCCTCTCTCCTTATCATAGGTGTACAATTTATGTCCAGTCTCTTCCTGCACTCCTCAAACCCTTTTCCCCTCCCCTGAGGACTGTCAGTCCACTCCCTTTCTATGCCCCTGATTCTATTATATTCATCAGGTTATTCTGTTCATTAGACTTTTTATTCACTTGATTTTTAGATTCACTTATTGATAGATATGTATTTGTTGTTCATATTTTTTATCTTTCTCCCCTCCTTCTCCCCTTCCCTTTTCCCCTTCCCCCTCTCCTTCCCCTCTCCCTCCTCCTCCTCCTCCTCCTCCTCCTCCTCCTCCTCCTCCTCCTCCTCCTCCTCCTCTTTCTCCTCCTACTCCTCCTCCTCTTCCTTCTCCTCCTACTCCTCCTCCTCCTTCAATACCTTTCGGTATTTCATGTAATACTGGTTTGGCGGTGATGAACTCCTTTAGCTTTTTCTTTAAAAAAAAAAAAATATATATATATATATTATTATTATTATTATTTTTACAGAGTGGGAGAGTTAGAAACATCGATAAGAGAGAAACATCATTTCAGCTGCCTCTTGCACACCCCCTACTGGAAATGTGCCCACAACCAAGATACATGCCTTTGACTGAAATAGAACCTGGGACCTTTCAGTACATAGGCTGATGCTCTATCCACTGAGCCAAACCAGTTAGGTGAAGCTCTTTATCTGACCTTCAATTCTGAAGGATAGCTTTCCTGGGTAGAGTAATCTTGGTTGTAGGTTCTTGCTATTCATCACTTTTATATTTCTTGCCATTCCCTTCTGGCCTGCATAGTTTCTGTTGAGAAATCAGCTGACAAACCTTTGTAGGTAACTAACTGTTTTTCTGTCTTTTGCTCTTGGAATTTTAATTATGATGTGACTGGGTGTGGTCCTCTTTAGATTCCTTTTGTTTGGGTTTCTGTGCACTTTCTGGACTTGTAGATCTATTTCTTTCACCAGGTGGGGGAAATTTTCTGTCTTTATTTCTTCAAATAGGTTTGCAGTATCTTGTTCTCTCTCTTCTTCTGGAACCCCCATAATTCTGATGTTGGTATGCTTAAAGTTGTCCCAGATGCTTCTTACACTATCTTCATTATTTTTGGATTTTTTTCTTTTCCGGTTGGGTGTTTTTTTGTTTGTTTGTTTTGTTTTTGTTTTTCCCCCCCTTTTCTTTGTATTTCAAATCTTTGGACTTGATTTTTTTTTTTTAAATAAGTTTTTATTGTTCATATTATTACAAATGTTCCTTCTCTCCCTCCTTACCCCCCACCATTGCTCTCCTCCACCAGGTTTCCACCCCACCCTCTGCCCTTTCCCCACTCCCCATTGTCCTCATCCATAGGTGCACAGTTTATGTTCAGTCTCTTCCCACATTCCCCTCTCCCCTTTTCCCCAAGAATCGTCAGTTCACTCCGCTTCCATACCTCTGATTCTATTATATTCAACAGTTAATATTGTTCATCAGATTTTTTAAAATTTCCTTGGTTTTTAGATTCACTTGTTGATAGTTACATATTTGTTGTTCATAATTTTTATCTTTATTTACTTTCTCTTCTGAAAGAACCCCCTTCAGCAATTCATATAATTCTGGTTTGGTGTTGATGAACTCCTTTAGCTTTTTTTTAATTTTTATTAGTGAAGCTCTTTATCTGATCTTCAATTCTGAGTGATAGCTTTGCTGGATAGATTATCTTTGGCTGTAGGTTCTTACTATTCATCACCTTGAATATTTCTTGCCATTCCCGTCTGGCCTGCATGGTTTCTGTTGAGAAGTCAGCTGACAATCGTATAGGTGCTCCTTTATAGGTAACTACCTTCTTTGCTCTTGCTGCTTTTAATATTCTCTCTTTGTCTTTTGCTCTTGGAATTTTAATTATGATGTGTCTTGGTGTGGTCCTCTTTGGATTCCTTTTGTTTGGAGTTCTGTGCACTTCCTGGACTTGTAAGTCTAATTCTTTCACCAGGTGGGGAAAGTTTTCTGTCACTATTTCTTTCAGTATGTTTTCGATATCTTGCTCTCTCTCATCTTCTGGGACCCCCATAATTCTGATGTTTGTTCGCTGGAAGTTGTCCCAGAGGTTTCATACATTATCTTCAACTTTCTGGATTCTCTTGCCTTCTAGTTTCTGTGGAGGAGTGTCTTCTGGCTCTTTATGTCCCAAATCTTTGACTTGATTCATGCGATCTTCCATTCTGTTTTTAGGACTCTGTATAATATTTTTTATTTCATATAATGTATTCTTTATTTCTTGTTGATCCCTTATCATTTCTTGTTGATCCCTTATCATTTCTTGTTGACTCCTTATTAATTCTAGTTGATCTCTTTTCATATCCTCATAGGTCTTATCCATATTTTCTAGGAAATTCTTGAAAAACCTTATAAGCGTAGATTTGAACTCTATATCCAGACGCTTTTTGTCCTCCATTTCTTTCGTTTGTGATCTATTTCTTTGTCGCATTTTGCAGTTACAGATGCGACGGGATTTCAGGGTGGAACCTACAGCCTTGGCTTCCTTCAGCCCCACCCTATGCGGCTCCTGAGTCTCAGGGTCCTTCAGTACTTGCTGCAAAGTGCCTCTGAGAGATAGGTGTCCTCGATTTTCGCCTGCTGACAAACAGTCTAGGCTCTCCCCCAATGAGCCCGGTATTGGGGTTCAGTTCAGTTGGAAGTGGAGTTGGAGGTGGCGTTCAGAGCAGACTGGAGCCCCTGTCTCCTTCCAGCTAGGGCAATCCCGCGGCACAGCCGACCGTCCCTTCTCTGCGCACAATGTGCGCACCCTCGGGACTCCCTTTCGCTGCTCCCCCGGGGTTCCGCCTTACAACCCAGCTCCCTATGGATGAGCCTGGGTCCCCAGGGTCTGGCCTAGAATTGGGGTTCAGAGCAATCAGAACTGGGGCCCAACACAGTCGGAGTTTTATCTCCTTCCCGCTAGGGAACGCCAGCCAGGCACTCAGCCGCCCTCCTCTCCGGCTCCGTCCTCTCCGCGCCACGTGTCTCCGTACCTCAGGCTTTTACAGCTCCTCCGCGCTTCCTTCTGGTTTTCTGCTTGCTTCTCGTTGTAGAATTTCCAGTCAGTCGACTTTCCTATAGTTTTGGGTAATGTCCATTTTATATTTTAGTTGTATTTTATTGAAATTATTGTGTGCGGCTGTGGCTTGGTTGTTTACCTGGGCGCAGCCATCTTGGCTCCCAGAGTCCAAATTCTGGACTTGATTTTTGAGATCCTTTAGTCTGCTGTTGGATCTCTTATATTATTTTTTATTCAGTCAGTGTATGCTTAATTTGTAGTTGATCCTTTTTCTTATCCTTGAGGATCTCACTAAATTTATCGGCCTTTTCTAGAAAATTCTTGAAAAACCTTATAACTGTGGTTTTGAACTCTATATCCAGTTGTTTGCTTTCCTCCATTTCTTTCATTTGTGACCTGTTTCTTTGTCTCCGCATTTTGGCTGCTTCCCTGAGTTGATGGAGTGGCTTTGTGTGCTAGGTGTCCCATAGGGCCCAGGGGCTCAGCCTCCCGAGTTACCTGAGGTGGATACTCTTGGTGAACCCCATTGTGGGCTGTGTGCACAGTCTTTTTTTTTTTTTTTTTTTTAAATTATTATCTGTGTTCATATCTTACCACCTCCTTGCCCCATTCAAACCCTTCCTCCCCAGAGTTTTGTGTCCATTGGTTGTACTTATATGCATGTATACAAATCCTTCGGTTGTTCTGTTATCTCCCCCAGATCTCCCTACCCTCCCTGCTGTAATTTGACAGTCTGCTTATTGCTTTACTGTCTCTATATCTATCTTTTGGTTCATCAGTTTATAATGTTCTTTATTATCCATAAATGAGTGAGGTCATGTGGTGTTTCTCTTTCATTGACTGGCTTATTTCACTCAGCATGATGTTCTCCAATTCCATCCAGGTTGCTACAAATGATGAGAATTCCTTCTTTTTGATGGCAGCATAGTATTCCATTGTGTAGATGTACCATCGTTTTTTGATCCAATCATCTGCTGATGGGCACCTAGGCTCTTTCCAAATTCTAGCTATTGTAGATTGTGCTGCTATGAACATAGGGGTGCATATATCCTTTCTGATTGGTGTTTCTAGTTTCTTGGGATATATTCCTAGGAGTGGGATTACTGGGTCAAATGGGAGTTCCATTTTCATTTTTTTAAAATTTATTTTTATTTATTTATTTTTAATTTTTTTTTTTTAGAGAGGAAAGGAGAGAGAGAGAGCTAGAAAAGTCAATGAGAGAGAAACACCGACCAGCCGTCTCCTGCACACCCTCCACCAGGGATGTGTCCGCAACCAACGTACATGCCTCTGACCGGAATCTCTTCCTCTCTCTCCCTTCCTTCCACAACCTGGGCATGTGCCCTTGACTGGAACCTTCAGTCTGCAGGACAATGCTCTATCCACTGAGCTAAAATGTCCAGGGCCTTACCATTCTTAATATGTGTAAAGAAGATCCCAAAGTTGGAGTGTCCTCTGTGGAACTATTTATTATCATCCCAAAATTTTTCTCAGTGTTTTCACCTCAATAAGTGACAGCATGTTTTGATTTAACTAAACATACAGTCATGGGCCACATAACAGTGTTTTGGCCAATGACAGCACACACAGCAGTGGTCCCATAAGATTACGATGGAGCCCTGGCCTCTTTGACTCCAGGATTAGAGCGTTGGCCTAGGGACTGAAGGGT